TCATCACGTAAATAAGACTTCCAACCAATGTTCTGTATTCTTTCTCACACGCCGCTATACCATCTTTATTATTCATAATTGTGTTTAAATCCATTTCACATGGAGTAGTTTGTGTTTTACAATTTTGCATGCTGAATTTAGATAAGAGCCTTTCGATGTATCTAGATTGATTCATTGTAATAGTGTTGCCCTTAAATTTGAACTGTATACCAAGAAACCATGATAGTCGACCCAAGTTGGTCATTTTAAACCTTATTTTTAGGGAATTTTTGATTTTTAATAGAGCGGCTTCACACTTTGATGCAATTAACATATCGTCGACCCAAATAACCAGAATTACTAATATTTCATTATTAAATGTTCTCGTGTACAGGCATGGGTCAACTTGGGAGGATTCAAATTGTTGTTCAATTAAATAAGAATGGATTAATTTATTCCATGTTCTTCCGCTCTGTTTGAGTCCATATAGTGACTTTTTGAGTTTCCATACATAATTATCACCTTCTTCAAAACCTTCTGGCGGTTCTATGTATATTTCATAGTCGATGGCAGCATTCAAATAAGCTACTTTAACATCCATATGGTGTATATCCATACCATAATATGTGGCCATTTGCATCAAAATTCTAATTGTTGTCATGTTTGTTGTTGGACTGAATGCTTCTACATAATCTTCCCCGTATATCTGCGAAAATCCTTTAGCTACAAAATGAGCCTTATACACTGGCGATCCATCCTCAGTTCGCTTTACAGTATAAACCCAACGGCTGCCAATAATATTTTTATCATCTGGGGCCTTTTATCAATTCAAAAGTGTCGTTTGATACTAAAGATTTAATTTCTTTTTGCATGGCAGCTATCCACCATTTGGAATTGACAGAATGTATGGCTTCTTGATAATTCTTTGGAATACATTGTACCGAATAGCAGCAGTCAATGTCACAGATATTACATTGACCCATTCCAAAATAGTCTGGCTTTCTTCTATTTCTGGTCGGATAACGCGGAATTTGTCCCCCCTCATCAGTTGTATTTTCTTTTAACTCAAGTTTTGCGTCTGATTTTTCCTCGTCTACATCATCTGGTATAACACCTTCCTCGGATTGTGGATTTGAATGGGTTTTCTACTTATAGGCCCATAATTAGACCATGCTAGTTCATGTTGGATCAGTTCCTCACAGTTAATGTTCTTTTTTTCGGGTTCCTCCCCTGGCTCAAAAGAATCTGTAAATCTGACGCATCTGATCTTCCTTATCATTTTAGTTTGTGGGAAATAAATCATATAGGCTGGACTTGTCTTGTCATACCCAATAAATATGCCCCTTTTACTTTTTGGATCTAGTTTTGCCCTGTGGTCAACATATGTATAGCAAATTGTACCAAAAATATGCATACCACTTACATTGGGTTTGTAGTTCGTATAAGCTTTGTAAGGATTCTTTTTAGTGTTACTATGATAGCAACGGTTTCTTATATATACAGCTGTATTTAATGCATAAACCCACAGATTTTTGGGTAACTTAGATTCTATTAGCAAACATCAAGCCATTTCAAAAAGCGTTCTCCAACTACGTTCTGCGACTCCGTTCTGGTGTGGTGAATAAGAACAAGTTTTCTCATGTTTAATGCCTTCATTTATTAGGAGGTTTTCGTAAAGTAGAAGTAAATTCTCTACCATTATCTGTTCTAATTATTTTTACTTTTCCATACGGGGAGATATCGGATAAATACATTTTTGTAGCTTGCAGGGTATCAGATTTGTTTTTCAGAAAATATATCATAATAAGTCCTGAATATTCGTCAACAAAGTTTAATACACATGAATAGGTGTCTATACCCATTGGTGAAATTGAACCAGCTAAGTGACAATAAACTCTGAACGAGATATCTGTTGATTTGGGGATCTGACCCCTATTTCTATATTTCGTCATTTTCCATTTAATACACATGTCACAATATTGTAAGCTCTTTGGAAATGTAATTTTCATTCCAGTGACGTGTTTTTGTAATCTTTTAACATCTGAATTATTACAGTGGCCTAATATTTTATGCCAAGTCCTTAAGTCGTGCTTGGCTGTCTTCGCAGACTTAATACTTTTCAAATAATACAAACGTCCATTTTGCTGTATATTAAATTCAGTTTCGTCTGGATATACTAACTTTGAATTGTCTTGGTGAAAATTGACTTTAACACCAGTTCTAACAGCAGACTGAACCGAAAAAATATTTTGTTTAAATTTAGGAATATATAAAGCCCTTTTTAATAAACATTTACAAATATTTCCTTTAGTATCTCATAAATAAATACAGGCATCGCCTCTTTTTAAAACTAAATTATTAGCTCTGGTCCCATCAGCTAACTCAATAAAATGTGAATCAGGCTCAAAATTGGGGTCAAAATTAATAAATTTTGTTTCATCTGTAATTACATGATTTGTTGCACCCGTATCGACTAGGTAAGAATTATAACTATTGGCTACAGTATCCAATCCAAATGAAAAGGCATATGTTCGCCCATTCAAAAAAGTTTTTACAATTTTACAAAAATCATTCCTTGTATAAAATCGACATTTTGCATGTACGTGGCCAGCTTTACCATAACGGAAACAAACGATATTTCTTTTTGTATTATTATTACTGGTCCAGTTCTTGTAATAATTGTTTTTAAGCCCCTTGTTTTTAATATCATAATTCCTAGTCTGATAGGTTTGAGGGACTGGTTTTCTGAATTTCTTAAATGACGTTCTCAGTTGCATTACGTTATTGCCTTGATTTTGTGGTGTACACATTTTTTCGGTTTCTTCATAACTACGTAACGCAATTTTAAACTCAGTGAAAGTTAATTTTTTATCTTTAGGAGTTATGACTGTCGTGAATGGTTTGAATGTCGGTGGTAAACCCTTTAAAACCATGGCTATTAGCAGCCCATCTGAGATAGTCTCACCTGCAATTTTTAAGGCATTTGTAACATTCTCAGCTCGTATAATATAATCTGTTACAGATTCATTTTCAAATCTCTTTAACGGTTAGTTCAGTATATAAAGCAATAATTTTAAACACCTTTTGACAAGTAGTGTTCACGCAAAACTTGTGAGCTTTCCAAATCCATTGTCTTGGCTTCTCTCATTATCAAAGACAAACTCCTGTCATCCAGGAATTGTATTAATTCAGTTAACACGGTTGCATTTTTTTCCATAAAATCATCATCCCCCTTCTGGTCCTCTTCGCAAAGGATGATGTCATGGAGTTTTTGTATTCTAAGGTAGCCTAAGAATTTCATTTCCCACAATTCATATCTCGATTCATTCCCGTCAAAATATAGTCATGGTCTGCGCTCATAGCAAATGTTGTTCATGATGACAGTCGTCTTTGAGTATAGAATCCAGAGGTTAGCAGTGAATATTTCGAAGACAGTAGGGAAGCGTTGTTCAGGTTAGCAGTGGATGTCCCGGTAAAGTAGCAGAGCATAGTTCTGTAGTTCTTCCTTCTGTTCCTCTTCGCCTGACAAGTTGGCACTGGACATTCGGAGAGTGAAACGAAACGGTCGCCTTTATACACGACGGATTGAATATTCTACGTCTTCTGATTGGTTAACCTTCTATTGGTGGACTATAAAGTGAGTCAAGTCATTTGGGCTAGCTCACTATTAGATACATATATACACAAAAAACTGCAACAACCATAACTTTTCCACTTGTAGAGAAGACCTGAATGTCAGACCCTGTCAAAGACTTTCAAGGTGTTCAATGCTACAGCCATTTCTATCTAGAGCATGACAGATGTGGCGGCAGTACATCGGCAGTTGACCTGGAGAAATGAAAACCATATTGCTTATCTGAGAAAAGGCTCTGTAATGAGAGATGATGAACCAATTCAGCATTGATTAGGGCTTCTAGGAGATTCCCAAAAAGAGGTTGGAAGGCTAATAGGCCAATAGCTGGAAGGATCAGATAGTTCACCAGAGTTCTTAAAAACTGGAACAATAGATGATGACTTTCAGCAGGCAGGAAAGCAGTGAAGCATTTATTATACAGTTTAGAGAGAACAGGAGCCACTTCAAGAGCAAACTTCTTAATGACTATTACAAGGATACCATGGAGTCCATATACTTTGTGGGGATCATAGTTAGAAATGATAGCAGAAACCATGGAAGTGGTTATATGTATATCACTCAACAGAGAATCAATTCTAAATGGGAAGTTAGGCAGGGATACTCTAGATGAGTTAAGAATATAGTTTAAGGAGAATTTACAGGCAAAGCATTCAGCTTTATCAGCAGAGGATGATAACACCTCAAATTGATTGAAGAGGAGATGAACAGAGACCTTGCACTTATTCAATGCTCTGTTACAGAGCCGCCAGTAATCATGAGAGCCAGAACTTGAACTCAGCCTGTTGATTTCAGAGTTAGCATGATGGTTAATGTTGATTAACCATCATCCTACCTCTGTACATTCAGAAATTGATTATGAGATGTAAGTGACGTAAGTTTGTTTAACCCAATTGTTTATCACTTCATTATAGCAGTAAAATAGCCTAAAAATATTACAAGTTAACCCTTTCTATTCAGACTAGTTAAGTCTGGTTACTCAAGCGTAACAGAAATGTCAATATTGTATTGCATTCAGTTTTTATGGAAATAAACAAAAGAGAACAGATATAGTATAGAAAGGTTCACTTGTGTAGATAGCTACTAAAGTGGATTTAAATTATAGTTATTTTAAAACTAGTAAAATTCAGAAATAAATTCAGTCAGGAAAAGGTTAAAAAGGAGTCACCTATTAATGCCATCAGGAAATATATTTGTGAGGAATTGTATAAAAGTTTGCAAATTAAGAGTTAAAGTAACTTGGGGGGGATTTCATTTCACTATTTCTGAATAGAACAGAATTATTTGATAGTTTTTAATAATCCAGATTTTATAGAGTTAATCTTTGGGGTAACATATAATATCAAACAACATTTACAATTGGATTGTCAATACAAAGTTAATATCTTACCTGTTTAAATAATTGACTTGAATTTGGCCATCTTTTTCTATCAGTTTGGCTAAAACATAGAAATAAAGCTTATTAAAATGAAAAATACTTGGAAATATTTTAATATATATTTATTATTTAAAAAAAAAAAAGTTTATTTGCAATACAAGTGGGTGCTGAAAAGTTTTCAGTCTGGCTCACTTTTCACAATCTGATCAAACATCAGAATTTTTAAGGAATTCTTGATTAAGCAGAGCATTTTTCAGCACTTCCTTACTCATGTACAACTCATAACATCTAACTCCTCTCTTTGATATTTAAAGTTTCTACTACATTAGTACTTTGCCAGTGTCTATTTATTAGTTTGCTAAAAACATTTTTATTGCACTATTAAAATTTTATCTCCCAGCAAAAATACTGTCTATAATATAAAGTAGTTATTATACAAATCTAAAGAAATACATATGCCCATTATTTTTATTTTTAATTGAATTTACCCCAAGCAAAGCAGTAAAGCCATTAAGACACAAGGGGTTACTTGATGTGAAAGAATTAGAAAACAGAAAATATTATGAAGGAGCAAGAACAAGAGAAGAGTAATCAGGAAGACAGTAGATAATGATTGACATTTCAGTTAAGTTTTTGAAGATCAAAGTTGGCTAGAAAGCATGGAGCTGGAAGAGAGTTCCACAAGTGAGAAGTGTAAGAAAAGACACAGTTAACATAGAACTTACAGTTACACCTACCCTATTCAAATGTAAATTGATGAGACCTTGTTGCTAATCGAGTACTGTTCTTAAATTCATAAAGTCTAGGTACCATAGTGAAGAGCTGATCCAAACAATTACCATAAAAGTATTTACAGAGAAAGGCACAGGGAAGCAACTTTATGGTGTGAAAGTGACTGAAGCTGAGATGCCAGGTCAGAAGCAATAACATCGCTGATTCACCTTTAGATTTTATCAAGAATCTCTAAATAAATAGCAGGAGCACTGAACCATATGCGACAGTAATATTCTAAGCATGGGCAAATGATAGATATAGATATGTAAGATAGATTCTAGAGAGAAAAAATGTCTCACACAACATAGTGAAGCAATTTCTTAGCAGCTAACCTAACAATGGATTCAATATATTCTTTCCACTTCATATCAGCCAAAAATGTTAACCTGAGAAGGTGCAATGAGTCATTCTCCAGGAGGTTAGCATCAGCCATGCTAATGGAAGGCAGAAAAGGATCTCTCAGATGATTAACAGAGAGCAGTTTAGTTTTAGAGGTGTTAGAATTAAGAAGCCATTCTTTGTCCCAGTTAACAAAAAGAGTGTAGTTTGTTTTTGTTTTTGAGATCAGCTGCCAATTTGACCTTATTGGAATGATCACTGAGTATCAAAACAGGAGTAATTGGTTGTGCCATCTGCATAGATACCAAGTTGAGAGCTGATGTCATCATGAAGGTCATTAATGAAAATTAAAAACAAAGTTAGACCAAGAATAGGACCCTGGGGGACCCCTCATTAGTACAGACAGATCTAGAAGAGAGGCCATTCAGGATAACTTTCATTTCATGATTTGATAAGAAAGACTGAATCAGTTCAAAAATTTCTCTGGAGACACCATAAATTTTCAAATTGTGAAGAAAACCCCGTTGAAGACTTTTGTGATGTCCAAAGAAACAGCTCGAACTTCACCATTCTTATATAAAGCTTGATAGACTCTTTCCGCAATAATCATTAATACATCAGTAGTTGACCTAAAGAAGTGAAAGCCATATTGCTTTTCTGAAAGAAGGCCCCCATGTTGTGAGATGCTTAACTAATTCAGCATTGATTAGGGCCTTTAGTACTTTGCCAAAAAGAGGTAGAAGGCTAATAGACTGATAGTTCAAAGGGTTGAACTGTTCACCTGAGTTTTTAAAGACCTTTTTTTAGAACATCAGATGAGGATTTCCAACAAGCAGGAAAGCAAGAGGCAATGAGGCATTTATTATACAGTTTAGAGAGAATAGGAGCCAGTTTGGGAGCACAATTCTTAAGGAATATTTTCAGGGATACCATCAGGTTCACATACTTTGTGGAGATCCAGATTATAGATGATAGCAGAAACCATAGAAGGGATTATATACATATCACTCAACAGGAACTCAGTTTTAAGTGGGAAATTAGCTAAGGATACTCCAGATGAGTCAAGAGTAGAGTTTAAGGAGGATTTATGTGTGAAGTATTCAGTTTTATCAGTAGATGTTAATACCTGAAATTGACTGAAGTGAGGAGGAATAAAAAACTTTTATTTAATACACTATTACAGAGTCTCCAGTAATCACGAGAGCCAAAGTTGTTTGATGCAACAAGGTGCCTCATTCAGACTTAGCTCCTTCAAGGACATGTTTACATTTATTACATGCAACCATGAATAGGTGTCTATTGTGATGGTTCCTGTGGACTACAGCAGCAGAACATGTTGCTGTGAACTTTGATAAGTTTGTAGTTTCACCTGGTATTTCTGAGAGGGAATGAAAGAATCTATGCCAGCTTTGACATAGGAGGAAACCTCAGTGGCACAATTCTCAATATGAAGGTTAAAATATCAGTCCAACGGTTTTTGAAGAAAGTAACTACCAATAGTAGTTATTGTAGTCATTACCAATAAGTATGCAGGTAACAGAAAGTGGTCTTATGAATAGGAGGTTCCTGTCTAATAGATGATTGGAATAAAATATCAATAAATACTAATGTGATCCAAGTTGTTAAGAGGACGGTGTTGCAAAGCATGACAAGAACTAGGAGAGGAGATAAGGAACAAATCAAGTAAAGAACTATGTTGCTCAGATTTATTAGGGAAATCAATGATTTCAATAAGAGATTGAGCAACAGAAAAATTGAAAGTCTGAATATCAGTAATATTAGAATGTTTAAGTCACTTGACATAATGCATATTAAAGTCACCAAACACAAAAATATTCACAGATGAATGAAGAGAGAGTGCCATTTCAATACTATCAGATATTTTGTCTAATATAATGCAGTCCTGAGATGAGTGATAAATGAAAGAGAGATAGCTTACAAGTCTAAAATCCATGAAAGAGTTGTCAGGGGACTCGAATGATAATTCCCTTGTCATTAGAAGATTATCCCAGAAGATGTAAACACCAAGCTATGCATATGAATGCTAGAATCTCTTCTGCAGAAAGGAAGACAGCCTGGAACAGAGAGTTCATTAGCAGTAATAGAAGAATTTAAATTGATTTCACAAAGTGCAAAGATATCTTAAAAAAAAAATTTCACACATACATACATAATATCCCTCATTTCAAAAATAATAAAAATAAAAACATCAATTATAAAACACATAATAAAACATAATTTATGTTTTTTTAAAAACACACAAATATATCACACACAACATATTTATAATAACAACATAAAAAAAAAAAAAAAAAAAAAAAAAAAAAAAAAAAAAAAAAAAAAAAAAAAAAAAAAAAAAAAAAAAAAAAAAATTTTTTTTTTTCCCCCCCCAAAAAATTATGCTTTTCCAATTTTATTAAAAAAAATTTTCCCTCATTTTTTTTAATTTTTCAAATTTTTCAAAAATTTTTGTTCATTTTCTGGTTTTATGTTTAAAAAATTTTTCTTTTTTTCCCCTTTTTTTTTTGTGTTTCCCCCCCTTTTGGGTTTTTTGTGTCCACCCCTGTTGGTTTTTGCCCCTTTTTTTTTTTTGCGTATTGTGTGGGGCGTTGTTTGGGGTTTTGGGGGCCCTTTTGTGTGTGGTTGTGTCGCAGTTGTTGTGTGTGTTGGTGTGGGCCTGTGTTGTGTGTTTTTTTTTTTTTTGGGGGGGGGGGGGGGGTTTTGTTGGTTTATTGGGGCGGGTTTTGGGGGGGGGGGGGGGGGGGTGGGGCCCCGTGGTTGTGGGGGGTTTGGGGGGGGTGTGGTGGTGTGTGGGCCGGGTGTGTGTGTGGTTGTGTGGCGGGGGTGTGTTGGGGTGTGTGGTGTGGTGTGTGGCCGCAATGGTGTGTGTGTGGCAGGGGTGTGTGGGGTCCCGGGGGGGGGGTGTGTGTGGCGGTGTGGTTTTGGATTTTTTTTTAAAAAATTTTGGGGGGTTTTTTATGTCAAAAATTTTTGGGCCCCGTTTTTTTGCTTGTTGGATTTGTTTTTTGTTTTTCCACCCAAAATGTTTTTTTTTTCCCCCTTTTTTGTTCCCCCATTATTTAAATTTTAAAATTTTAATATACCAACATATATGTATAACAACCCCCATCATTTAAAATTTATTAAACACACACATAAAATATTCACACACACATAATATATTAAAACAAAATATATACAAATTAAATTAAAAAAAATAATTAAAACAAACAAATATTTTATTAAACACCATAAAAAATATACACACAAAAAATTTATTTTTTAAACCCCACATCAAAATTTTTTCCCCATCATATTATTCACACAATTATATGAAAACCCCCACATAATATTATTAAAAAAAAAAAAAAAAAAAAAATTTTAAATTTTACACACAAAATATTTTTTTTTTTTTTTTTTTTTTTTTTTTTTTTTTAAAAAAAAAAAAAAAAAAAAAAAAAAAAAAAAAAAAAAAAAAAAAAAAAATTTTATTACCAAAACATTAAATTTATTATACACACATACATTTATTTAAACACAACAAAATTTTAAACCCCCAAATACAAATTTATTAAACAACAATATTTAAACCCCACATACATATTTAAAAACCCTAGTATATATATATAAACACACAAAATATATATATAAAAAAAATAATAAAAAAAAAATAAAAAACCCCCCCCCCCTTTTTTTTTTTTATAAAACACACAAATTATTATTAAACACACATTATTTATAAAACAAAATTTAAATTTGAAACACAAAATGTGTTTTTCACAAAACACACAATTTTTTACACACACAAATAATTATATATAAAACCCAAAAAAAAACCCCCAAAAAATATTTTATTCACAAATAATAAAATAATATTAAAAACACACAAATAATTTTAAACCCCCACAATACAAAAATTTTTATTCACACACAAAATTAAAAAAAAAAAAAAAAAAAAAAAAAAAAAAAAAAAAAAAAAAAAATTTTTTTTTTTTTTTTTTTTTTTTTTTTTTAATAAAACACACACATACATATATATTATAAAACAACATACATATATATTAAATAAAAACACACAATTTTTTATACACACACAAATTTATAACACACAACATTTTATATATAACACACACAAAATATATAACCCAAAAACACAACA